TTGAATCTCCCAGTTTTCCTCAGGCTTCCGTCTTAACTCCATCCCCACAAGGTGTCCGTGGGATTTTGCTCATTTCTTCTGCTGGGGAAATAGGTGGGGCTGGAACCATCTTCCCTAAAAGGACCAGACACCTTGTTACATCAACCCAGATACTTTATTACATGATCTGATTTGAGAAGGTTCTGCCTCTTTTATTAAGAAATTCTGCTGAGCCTCGAATACAGGAAATGAATTTAAATGGGCGTTGTTGTTGTAAACTCTAGCATGCGGATCCAAAATCTTTCCCCAGCATGATCTTGTGCATGCACTGAACAGTTTAGCAAAGCCAATGAAGGCTAACGTCCCCCGTGTCAGACAAAAGGACATTATTATCCCCGCATTACAAACAGGGAAACCGAGGCACAGTCAGGTATGTGCAGCAAATCTGGGGTCAGAGCTGTGAATAGAACCCAGGGCCAATATTTTCCAAAATGTGAACCTAAAGTTAGACTTCTGCATCATATTAAGGCACCTAAATAAAACACCTGCTTTTCAAAAGATGCTGAGCAAACAGAAAATTCTTTTGGTCCTAAGCCATTTAGGTATTTTTGAAAATACTAGCCTCAACTTAGGGACTTAGGAGGAAAATCTTTCTTAGTTTCTCTCTCCGGAGCTTTATTCTTCAGGTTGAAAGTGCAGAACAGAAAAATGGAAGGGGAAAAAATGGGTTTCCTATAAAACTACAAAAACAAAATAGAAAAAGCCTACTCATGCTACAGTCCACCCCTCTTCCAAGGTGAATGGAGATCTTTCTGCTTCCTAAAGCACTTCCATTACTTTTCAGACATTAGAAAATACTATCTTAGGCTGTGTCTAGACTACATGCCTCTGTCGGCAGAGGCATGTAGATTAGACAGATCAGCAAAGGCAAATAAAGCCGCGATTTAAATGATCGCTGCTTCATTTACATTTACATGGCTGCCGCGCTGAGCCGACAAACAGCTGATCAGCTGTTTGTCCGCTCAGCGCGCTAGTCTGGACGC